ACAGCGCCCAGGCCCCACAACCGGACAACCCCCCCCACACACACAAAAATGCATCTTCACCCAGTTAATGTGTTCCATATATCAATGCCCTTTGCATTAATTCTCAGAAAGGAAGTGTAGGGAGAAATAGTTTATTGTAGTGATATAAGCATATGACTATTTCTCCTTTCTATTCTTGTGTTAGCTGCAGTACTGAAACCTCTCTCTTACCACTTTCAGTATTCTGCTGAGAAACTGAACAGAAGTGGCCATTTGTTCCCTTTGGAGGTTGGTGGTAAGTGTTTCAAAAGTCCTGACAAAGTCTTTGGGGCTGGATAATAAATGGGTGAGCAGGGTGGTTAGGCCCAGGGGAAGCTTCTGTGTGTGTGTGTGTGTGTGTGTGTCTGTCTGTCTTGCATGTAGTCATTGGAGCAGGACTGGCCAGGGTCAGCCCCCAGTAAGGCCTTACCCTTCCCTGCTGGAGGCCGTTTGGCGTTTGGGTGCGGCCAGAAGGTGGCCTCCACCTTCCTTGGAGGTAATGGCCACGCTTGTAGCATCCTTTAGCCACTAGAGATAGTCACCTGTTGCCTTGCTGCAGCTTTGCCAACCACGGATCTGCCCATGCTTGCCCTGGCTTCCCCTCACCACTCAGAGGGGGCCTCCGAGGGGTTTGTGGTGCTCCCACTCCAGCCCATCTGAGAACCGGATCACCCCTGTCAGCCCCGAATGCAGTGGTTGGTACAGTGCGCCGTGCCCACGCCATGCAGAGCTGGCTGCCATTTCCACCCTGGGAGGCCCTAGCTGGTCTCCATCCTCTGCTGCTGCTCTGCATCCTCCTCATTGCATCTTGGCACCATGGGTCTGTCCTCCACATGACGCCTCGTCCCTGCCTGCTTTCCACTGGGTCACAAGCAGGGCTCTTGCACGTGCCTTTCTGCAGAGTGGACTGGTGTCTCCCACAGTGCCTTTCGTTGTCAGGAAAACATAGAGAAGCCACATTTTGAGAGATCAAATTTGGAGTCTTTATTGGAGGCTGGCGACTACAGAGGGACTCCTGCCTCAGAGATCTGTAGCCTTACACAGCTTATGCAGTCTTTAAAGACAAAGACCCCATGCTTGGGGTGGGGGCTAAGCAAGAGCAGACACTCAGGTACAAGCTCAGGTACCGACCAAACTTTTCCATCTAGGGAAGCCATTCTCAACCTTCCATATAGGGGAAGTCTTAGAGGCTTCTGAGAGGCGGGTGATTCAAGTCATTCAAGGAGAGGCGGAATCCGACCATTCTCTATGTGAGGCTTTCCTGAGGCAATGACATCTGCATTTCTCTGAAGCAGATCTCCCCAGCTCACCTAGAGCTAGGCATCTGCATTCAGTGGGTGGCCCCTCTCACCTCGAGGCTGTCTGGGACTGTGCAAGGGGCACAGGATGGCTGGAAGAAGTCGCTCACACCCAGCTTCCTCACCTCATCCCCTACTGGTTTTATGTACTTGGAATCAAATCATTGAATCCTCATTGAAAGAGCTACATTGGGTCCTTATGACCAAGAGCCTGACCAAGGGGGTGTGAATGCTGGGCTGGGTGCCAGAGCTGGTAACGGGGGGGGGGGGAAGGGGGGGAAGTGGGTCTGTAATGGGGGACGGGTCAGAGCTTGAGGCACTGAGGCTTGTGAGCTACTGGTGGAGCTCAGATGCCCAAAGGGCTGCAGGGGTCAGAGGGGGCTCCCCCATCCACTCTGCTCACACTGTGGGGCAAGTGTCAGCAGGGAGCCGTCACCAGTGTTGGAAACTAGAGATGCCAGTGTCTCTGCCCTGGTCCGCAGCCGTGTGGCTGCGGCGGGGGCAGGCTGCTGTCTCTGCGGGCCTCTCGCCCGCTCGGGGCCGAGGCCGAGGCCGCCTCCCCTCGCACTAAGGACCGTGGCTGTTTGAGGAAGTGGCTCTGGTGGGAAGCAGTCTGATGATTCAGGGTGTCTTGGGGAGGAGTTGGGCTGTTATTTTTAGGAAACAGCTTTGCTGAGGAGGCTCTGACTTACATCCTAAAACCAGGGGTTTTCTGCAAAGATGAGCCAAGCGCAACAGCAACTTGGCAGGAAGGCTCTGATGCGTCTGCGTCCTGCGTCGACCCGGCCACCGTGCCCGGCCACATGGTGTGGCTGCCAGGGGAGCAGCAGGCTCCCTTGGTTTGGCTGGGCTGTGTGCTTGGTGCCCTGCAGGTCGGGAGAGTGGCCCCACCTGCTTACCTTTGCTGCCCCTCGTGTTTCTGCAGGAGACAAGAGCCCCTGGTCAGCCTTGCGTGGAGGACCGCCTGTTGGGAGCCCCGGGACTACAGGCTCTGCGTGCCCTTTCCTGCCAGCCTCGTGTGCTGTGGCTCATGCGGACGGTGTCCAGTGGAGGCCAGAGTCGCCAGGCCCATGCCCAGGCCCGGGCAGCACTTTGGACCTCTGTGAGAATTCAGGGCCCCCCGTGGCACCACCGACTAAGCGGCACTGCCGGTCCCTGTCAGAGCCTGAGGAGCTGGCTCGCTGCCGCTCCCCATGGCGGCCCAGCGGCTCCAAGGTCTGGACTCCAGTCTCCAAGAGGCGCTGCAACAGCGGCGGAAGTGCCACGCTGCGGGGCGGCGGCGGCGGCGGCAGCCTTGGGAGCTTGGGCCTGCCCAGGAGCCCCACCTTGCCCCTGGTGCCCCGGCCTGCCTCTCCCAGCAGCGGCGTGGGCGAGAGCATCGAGGGTGGCCCGGCCTTGGCCCCCCCCTGCCCTGAGCAGCCTGGCTGGCTCTCCAGGCGCCGCCTGTCGCTCTCCCAGGAACACCTTGCAGATACGGGTGCTCACCTTTCTGCCAGCAGCACCCCAACATCCACGCCCGAGCCAGGCCGGCGCCACGGCCTGCCCCGGTGCCGCTCGCAGCCCTGTGTGCTCAGCGGAAGGAGAAGCCGGCGCAAGAGGCAGCGGGAGGGTGCCAGGTGGACACGCCCGTCCTTGGACTTCCTCAAAATGACGCGGGTGAGGCTGCGCTGGGCTGAGTGCCTGGGGAGCAGGTGGAGAGGGGGTGGCCTCAGGGCGAGGGGCGAGCGGGCGAGGTGGGAGTGCGCGTGGCGGGGCTGGCCTCGGCACACTTGCACCTGGACAGAGCCCTGCACCCTGACTCCGGGGTGGCTTTGGCCTGGGTCCCTGGAAGTAGAGAGGAGCTGGGGGAGCGTGTGGGGTTGATGGGGGAGGAGCTGACTGAGCTCTGGAGTTGGGGAAGGCAGCAGGGGTGTGTCTGCTTGGTGACTGGTGGTGTCGTCGGCTGGCTGTACCTTGACTTCCCACCGCTCACCGTGTCTCTAGGCTCCAGGAGGGAGCAGCTTGAGTGTGGCCCACTGAGTCCTCAGGAATGTGTGTGCACAGCGCATGGCGGCCACAACCATGTGTGATGTCCCCACCGCCACCTCCCTGCTGGGGAGCGCCTCTCGCGGTGGGCTGTCTGGATGGCACACTGGTTTCCACACGGGACACCCGCAAGTGCCCGTCTGCACCCACGCAGCCAACCACACGCTGCGCTCTGCTGCATTCAGATCTTACAGAATAGGGGCAGGCGTGATTCCATTGTTTTCCTCATGTGTGCTCTGTGTGTGCTGCATGTACGTGTTGTGTATATGTGCTGCGTGTGTGGGCCATGTGTGTGTGCTGCGAGTGTGAGCCGTGCTGGCGTTAGTGCTGTGATGGGGAGGGCTGGCTGACCACTTTCATCTCGTGTGTGGTTTTAGTCTCAGCGCCACTCATCTTCCCTGGGTGGGGCCTCTTTCTGACAGACACCCAGTGTTACAGTGAGCCGGAATCAGGGTCTGTCTGTTCCCTGGATGTTTGGGGAATTGCCAAAAGGCCACCTGGGCCTGGCCCAGATTTAAACTTGTTTGTGCAAATTGATGAGGGTTTTCAGGTTCACTTTCCATTTGTTTTAGGTACTGTATCTGTGAGAGGTGGCCCCTCTTTTTAATCTTAGGGTTTATTTTGGGGGAGAGAGTTGTTCACTGAACCCTGTGACTTGGCGGCGTGGTGTGCAGGAGAGTGAGGTCCAGCTGCCTGAGGCCTCCACAGCGCTGAGGGGCCCGGTGGGTGTGGTGGGACCGCTGAGCAGGGCTCTCCCGGCCTCGTCCATTGGCCTAGGACGAGACGGAGGCTCTGAGCAGGGCTCTCCCGGCCTCGTCCACTGGCCTAGGACGAGATGGAGGCTCTGGCCTGAGGCCCAAAGCGAGACCCCGTGTGCCTGGGGCTCACCAGACATCAGGCACCCACAGACACAGCATCCTCTGTCGGGCCTAGCTGGCACTGGGGTTGCCCGGGGGGCCTTGGTGCTGGTAAGGCCGAGGACGGGTGAGCAGCCAAGTGCTGACATGCAGGCAAGGCCTGGTGCTCTGTGACTGGGGGTGTCTTGGTGGGCGTGGGGCACCTGTGTGACTGGAAATGCTTTCAGCCATGGCTCTTCTCTTTCAGACTTTGAAAAACTCAAAGAGCCTTTGCTCCCTGGACTACGAAGATGATGATGAGGACGACCCCCAGGCAAAGACTGTCGTGTCCTCTCCCTGTGACTCGCAGGACCTTGTGGGCCTGGTCACGCCCAGCCCCAGCCCCAGCCCCAGCCCATGGGCCTCCAGGGAGCAGGCCGCGGGCTGGCGTGAGGGCAGGGGCAGCGGGGACTGGGGCAGTGCCAGAGAGGAGGGCGCCCTCCCTCGGGATGGCAGTGACCTGGATCTGGAGCAGATTGAGAACAACTGACTGCGACCGCCCCGCTGCCCAGGACCCCTGCTGCCCAGGACCCCCGCTGCCCAGGACCCCGGCTGGCAGAGCGGCCCGGGTATTTGTACAGTGGAGGCATCGTTTTGATTCAATTTTTCCTAAAGAAGTATTTTGCATTTTTATGGCTTTTACAGTTGGGGAGAGCGTCTCTATTTTGAAATGAGTTTTCAGAAGGGCATTCTATTAAATGTGATTCTGCCAGAGTTGGCACGAGTGACATGCTGCAGCTGCCGTGGTGTGCTCGCCTCTCCACCCCCACCCCTGTCCCCCTGTGGGGGGTTCCTGGTGTTCAAGGGCATTTCTGTCCTTGGCTTATGTCACATGGTGCTGGTGACCTGCAGGCTTGAACCCCAGGCTTCCCAGTGATGGTGCAGGAGGTTCCCTGGAACACATGCCCTGCCCTGGGCTGCGAGGAGGCTCCAGAGTGCCCCAGAGCAGCACCGTCAGTGCCTGTCAGTGAGCTCAGACTCTGCACTGACCCCCTCCCCTTCACTCCCAGGCCTGAGGGCCCGGCAGCCTGCCACATTTCAGCCGACTTCCCTTTCACTTCTGAGCCCCGGGAGTCTTCCCAGACCTCTCATAAGGAGCACTCTGTGGAGGAAGGAGAGTGTAAAGCAGGCAACGCAGTCATCTCTAGAAAACCCCCTGTGAGAGGTAGCAAGCTCAGACCTCCCGGTCCCCCCTTGTGAGAGGTGACAAGCTCAGTCTCCCCTTGTGAGAGGTGATAGGCTAGTCCCCATCTTCGGGCCGTCTGGGGTGCAGGTCACGGTGGTTGGAGGCCAGGGGCTCCCTGCTGGGCAGTGGGCTGGCGGCACGTGGCTTGCACCCACAGGTGTCCATGTTCAGTGGCATCTGAGCTGACGTATTTATACACATGATCGATGTGGCTGTAACTCTCATTCATGTCCAGGAATATATATATATATATATATGTTTTTGCTAGAACCTGGGCTGCTGCCAGGAGGCCCTGATACTTGCAGAGGTCAACTCCAACCTTGACTGCGAGCAATATCCCATGAGGCTGGCTGGTCAGGATGCCTCCTGGGCCTGGCTTGAGCCATGGGGCTGTGTCTGCATCTCTGCACCCGCTGAGCAGCTGGTGTCCTGTCTGGGTCACAGGGTCACGGTTTTGGGAGCATTGCCTGGGAGACCAAGAGCATTGGTAGACATCCTTGCCCCAGGCCAGGCCGGTCCGGGGACCTGTGCTGAGAACTGCTCGCTGTCTAGGCAAAGCCCCACTCTAGCAGAAGAAGACCGGGGCTGCTCGGTGTCTTCCGGGCCTCTCAGGATCTGGCCCATTGGCTTCCAGCTCAGCCGCTCAGCTGGCAGCCACCCCCACACAGGCTTGGAGCACCCTCTGGATAGTTGCCTTCCTAAACCCCTCTGAATGGACAGACGGACCAGTTGCCTTGTTCTGCTCCACACAGCCTACTCAGCCCAGGCCTGGGCAATGGCCAGGCTGGCGCCTCTGCATAAGGAGTCCCCTCCCAAGCCTTCCACCTTCGAGACCCTCCCTAATGGCTATTCTTAGTCCATGGTCAAAGCATGGTCCCCATAGAAGCTTCTGGGTCCCACTTGCAGCCCCTTCTGCATACCTGGCTTCCAGCCCGTGCCACCACTCTGCCTCCATTGTCCTGCTCTGGGCCCCGGCTGCCCTGCCTCCCGGGGTTCAAATTGTTGGTGCTGTCCCTGCTCCCCTGCTGTGGGTGCTCCTGAGGCTAGAGCTCAAGAGCTGCTCTGCCTGTGCCCTTGCCGTGGGCCCCTCCCTGAAGTCCCCACTCCTGTCCTCCACTAGGTGTCCACAAACCTTCCCTCAAGAAGGCCAGGACACCTTGTCATGGTGGTAGATGCCTGTAATCCCAACTGTTCGGGAGGCCAAGGTAGGAGGATCTTGAATTTGAGGCCAGCCTGGGCAAAGGTAACTAGACCTTGTCTCACGAAACAGCTGGTGTGTGTGGCTCAGCAGGAGAATGCTAAGCATGGAGCCCTGGGATCAATCCCCCAGTATTGAGAGAGAAAGGTCAGGATGAGGTGCTGGCTGCCAGTGTCTATGTAGCCAGCACCTCCAGGCCGTTTTCTGGCTGCCTCTTCCCTCTAGAGACACTGTGGCGGTCTGTCCTGTCTTGCTGTCCCCTGCCCCCCGCCTACTCTGCCCTGTGCCCTGGGTGAGGGTTTTGGGTACCTCACATGAGGGGCATCACACAGCACTTGTCTGTGAGTCTCAGAGCTGTGGGTGGCAGGAGCACTCACGGCTTTTCACAGCGCCTGATGGCTGTTTAGCCCCCAGGCCACAGTTGCTCTTTTTGCTCTAAAGGGACAGAGAATTGCTTGGCTGCTGGTCCAGCCGGAGCCCACCTGCTCTGGTTTTCGGGGAATTCCTGGACAGCACAGCCGCCATGCTATTACGTCCTGGGGAGCTCGTTCCCCTGCCAGACCCTGCTCAGCCGCAAGTTGCCCTCCAAGAACCTCCTCAGTCCCAGACACCAGGAGCTTGGCTGAGCTAGTGCCGTGTTCCAGCAGCATGGAGGCCGGCCACAGGCCCGTGTATCTTCTCTTCAAAGCTCTACAGGGTGGGCTGGGCCCCTGACCATCTGTCTCAGTCTTGAGTCTCCATGGGGCCTCAGGGCTGGGCGGGCTCATTGGGCAGACAATGGGGTGCAGATCCTGAGCCCATGCCCTGGCCGACCCTGGCAGGGGAGGCACAGACACCTCTGTAGAACGGAAGCCAGGACACTGTGTGCTTGCTCGCTGGTCCTGTGGGTGTTGATCAGCTGTTTCCTGGGCACTGAGCATTGCTCTTGACCCCCAAGTTGGTGTTTGGGAGGCATGTTCCATCCTCTGCCTGGGCAAAGGACCTGCAGCAAGAGCAAACGAGTTGGAGCAGCAAGGCGGCTTGTGTGGAGGGCGTGGGATTGGTGGACCAAATGAAATGGGAAAAATTATTTCAGCCATCATAAAGTGGAAAAAAAAGATTAAAATGGCTGCGCACTGGTGGCTCACGCCTGTCACCCTAGCTACTCAGAGGCTGAGATCTGAGGATCGCGGTTCAAAGCCAGCCCGGGCAGGAAAGACCGTGAGACTCCTATCTCCAGTAAACTTCCAGTGGTGCTGTGGCTCAAGTGGTAGCGCGCTCGCCTTGAGCTGAAGAGCTGAGGGACAGAGCCCAGGCCCCGAGTTCAAGCCCCAGGACTGACAAAGGAAAGAAAAAAGATTACACTGTCGAGCGAGTGGGGCGAAAGTCCCAGGACCTACTGTGAGCTTCACCAAGCCGCTGCCCTCGCGCATGGGGTCCAGGCAGGCCCCTCCGGCTGGAGCCTGGCCTCCCTCGGCCACCCAGCCACGGAGAGCCTCAGCGGAGGCGTGCGGCTGGCTGCCGGGACGATGCCCGTGGTGGTGGGCGGGAGGTCCCGGCCTG